CCCCCCCCCGCCCCCGGCGCGGACGGGCTCGCAGCATCCTCGACCTTGCCGGGATAAAATTAGCCATTTCACTTTGAATTAGAGACAGTTGAGGCGAAAGCAGCCCGAGCGGGTTCCTTTCAAAGACGTCACGATGGCAGCGGGGCCTGCGATCATCGGGGAGGGGAGGGTCCTTCCAGCCACCGCCTGGTGACAATGACATTGATTTCCTAGCCCTTTTGGCGTGGCCAAATCTGTATTTTTAGCTGAGGAAGAAGAGGATGGGGGGGGAAGGGGGGGGAATAAAAAATACATAAATCACGTGTTCAAGAAATGCTTTTCCCTGCCCCGATGGGAAGGGAGATGAAAGGAGACGATGCTGAGGTGGGGGATGGAGACCCCTGGAGACCCACCACTCTGCCTTCCTCCTCCTCCCTCTCCCCCACCCTGTTCTCATTTCCCCAAGAAGACTTTAATGAAATCTGCCCTTAATTAAATCCACATTCATTTGCATAATTACCAGGAAATTGAAATTAGCCTGCGGACGTGGTTGGAATACATTTGGCGTTGAGCAGCCCCGCCTGGGCGGGAGGGGGGGGCTGGGTGTCCCCCCCCCAGCTCGCACCCATGGGGGCCACCACCCTGCCCCCCGGCCCCCGCCGCCCTGGGGTGGCCACCACAGTGGGGTTGGGGGGGGACAATTGGGGGGACAGCGAGCAGGCAGTGCCCCCCCCCACCCCAGCACCACGTTTGCTTTATTTATTACAAATAAAAAGTCTTGACCGCCATTGAGAATTTTTTTTTTATAACTATGTATTTTGTCGTTTTTTATGGTTTTTACTTGTGGTTTGGTTTTTTTCTTTTTTTTGTTGTTTTTTTTTGGGTTTTTTTTTTTTTGTTTTTTTTGGTTTTTTTTGTTGTTTTTTTTTGGGTTTTTTTTTTTTTGTTTTTTTTGGTTTTTTTTGTTGTTTTTTTTTGGGTTTTTTTTTTTTTGTTTTTTTTGGTTTTTTTTGTTGTTTTTTTTTGGGTTTTTTTTTTTTTGTTTTTTTTGGTTTTTTTTGTTGTTTTTTTTTGGGTTTTTTTTTTTTTGTTTTTTTTGGTTTTTTTTGTTGTTTTTTTTTGGGTTTTTTTTTTTTTGTTTTTTTTGGTTTTTTTTGTTGTTTTTTTTTGGGTTTTTTTTTTTTTGTTTTTTTTGGTTTTTTTTGTTGTTTTTTTTTGGGTTTTTTTTTGTGTTTTTTTTTTGTTTGTTTTTTTTTTTAAATCCTTTTCAACAGTGACAAACTGAGGTAACGTCTGTGACACTACAGCCTCTCCTACGGGAAGAAGGTCCGGAACCCGACAGCCGAGGGAACTGGAAATAAAAAACCCCACAACCTACCGACACAGCGACCTCGACGGGGACAGAAATCACACCCGGGGACAACACACCCCCCCCC